ACCATTATGGAAGGAGATAATTTGGGTAAATTTAGGTCAAATCAATCTTGTATTTTAGTTCCAGATGAGTCACTTAAGAAATGATGAATATGTTCAGCTCCAGAGTTAAACAGAAACCTGACCAACGTTTTAGGGCCACAATGAACAGAGATACTATGATGCATTCTGTGATAACTAGGGATGTTGAACATTTTTTCACACATTTCTTGGCTATTTATATATATTTCTTCTTCTGAGAAGTAATTTTCAGTTCTCCTGGAAAAATTTTCAATTTGCTGGAATAAGTTCATGTGTCATGATTGTGTTGACCCTTTTATATAAAGTTCCTTTGAAGCACACAATTGCCTAAACTTGTCCCCATTTGTGACCCATGTTCAAGCTCTCTGCTTGATCACACAGTGTTGCCAGATTCCATAGACTCAACTTTAGTCCATACCCTGTCCTTGGACAACTGTTATGTCTGAGTGACAGCAGAATCCAGGATCCACTGGACTACAGTGGTCCTGGGTGACTCCACTGGCTACAGTTATCCCTAGTGCCCGTCGTGTGCACGCTGCATACAGTCTGCAGTTGTCCTTGGTGGCTGATGAGGGTCTAACTGTACGGTTTACAATTTGTTCTACAAGGAGTCCATCTACTCGGGCTGTTCAACCATATGAACCAGGGAGATTCCACAATACAGGGATGAAGTAGATTCCTGGATTTCATCTTAATATAAAAGTCAACCCAAAATTGGCTGAAGACCTCGAATTTGAACAGAAACTCTTTAACCACCAGAAGAAGGCATGGGGTCATGTCTCTGACATATAGTGGCAGGTATTGACTTCCTCAATAATACACCTAAAATTTAGAAAATAGAACAAAGATTAACAGAAAGATACCAAATTAAAAGAGTCTGCACAGCAATGGAAGCAAGTATGTGAAGTAAGATGCTAAAGAATGGGAGAAAATCTTTGCCAGCTACTCTTCTGACAGAATGTAATAAGAACTCAAAAAAACTTAACACCAAAAACACGATTATTTTTTAAATACATGTCAGTGGAATGCATTACAATTCTAACAATTAATTAAATATTTAAAAAACACAATGATGCCAATCAATACATGGGCAAATATGTTTCTCACAAGAAGAAATACAGATGGCCCAAAAATATATGAAACAATATTCAATATTCTATAAAAACCAATAAGAATTCATCTTCAGTTAGAATGCTAAGTATCAAGAATAATAGTAAATTCTGGTGAAGGAATGGGAGAAGGGAAATTTAGGCGCTGTTGGTGCATTTAGAAGTTAGCACAACCAGTATGAGGATAGGAATGGAGATTCATCAAACACTAGAAAGGGTACCACCACATTACCCAGATCTGTCTGTGGTATTATTGAAAAGAATTCCAGTCAACATACTATACCACAATACATGCACACCCAAGTTTATACCAGTGAGATTCACAATAAGTAAGTTAAAGGAATCAATTTGTCAACTGATGAGTGCAGAGTAAATGTGGTATATATTTATCAGGAAGCTTTGTTCAGCCATAAAGAGGAACAAAGTTTTGCCATTTGCAGGAAAATGGATAAAAATGGAAAACATTTTTTTAAGTATAATAAGACAGACTTAGAAAGACAATGGTCATATATTTCATAACATATGTAGAAGGTTAAAGGAAAAAAGAAAATAGCAGAGACAGTACAAAGGTAAATGAAAGAGACAGGAGAGTCTTGGGAATGAATCACGGAAGGGAGGAGTGGGTAGAAGGGGAAAGCTTGGTCCAGCAGTGAAGCAGACCTCATTACACTCTGCGCATGCATGAAGACATCACCACAAGACCAAGTATTCTGTGCAATCCTAATGCACAATAGATCCCTCCGTGTGGGCTGCTTGGATAACTCTTTCCAATGCCTTTATTTTTGTGATGTGGGAGGGTTTTCCATTTGGTCATGGAAAAACTTAAAAAAAAATACACATATTTTGTTTATAGTATATTTAGTTTGATAGAAATCCCTGTGATGCTGTTTCAATAAAACAGAATTTGATTGTCACTTCTGCCACTGAGTAATATCATCATCTTAAGTAATTACTAATTTTACAGATGCTCTCTCTGTGGTCAGTCTCTTAGGGTTGAACTGTTAGCTTCTATATTTACTGTGCAGTGTACACTGCTTTGTGTCCTACTTTACTTTTCATAAAGCAATTACAATAGAAATTTACTCATAAATTGGTTGTACTATCCGTGATATAATGTGGCAAGCAATAAAAAAATATCTAGCACATATTGAGTGCTAAGAAAGTGTTTTATTTAGCATTGTTGGCAATTTTGCTCCTAAAACTACAACTAATAACAATAAAATGAACATTGTAAAACAATTCTACTATAAATCAAAATCCCCAAACTTCATACGGCCTGCAAATGTATGAATCCACTTTATTGATAGAGGAACTTTGCCCTAAAAAGTTAATCAACCATTCTAAATTCTTCCTGCTGGTAAATATGTGTTGAGTATCAAAATTTCAAGTCATCTTATTCTGGCATGAGATAAGTCTTATGACATTGTAGTTGTGTAGACAGAATTTACTAATTTTGTTAACCAACTACACTCTTCGTGGGCCGTGGGAATCATCTAGGTAAAGCTGTATTTTATTTATGGAGAGTGAACAGTTTGTTGATGCCTAGTGGATTCCTCCAGAAAAGCATGTGAGAACAATTACTGAGATTTATATTGTGCATAATTTTGTCTGGACCCTTTATACTGGATGGACAGCTTGGCTGGGTATAGAGTTGTTGGTGCAGAGGTAGGGTTGGCTCAGTGGTAGAGCACTCATGGAGCATGTGTGAGGCCCTGGGCTTAATCCTCAGCATCACATAAAAATCAATAAATAAAATAAAGGTATTGTGTCCAACTACAACTAAAAAATAAATTTTAAAAACTTATTGGTGCACACACTTATATGAATAGTTTCATAGCATTTCCCACACTGTTTTCTGCCACTAAATCTTAGTATGACAAATTCGAAATCTGATAAAATTGGTAGCTAAATGTCTGTTAAGTGTTGAATGGAAAAATAGAGTGTGGCACATATAAGTAATGCAATCTGGTCAGTCTAAGGAAGGCATGCAATGCTATTTCTTATGGCAGCATGGATGGACATGCAGGACATTATAAGTGACATCAATCAGTCACAGAAAAGCCCATACTACACTTGTAATGGCATATAGAAAAGATGACATTGGAACAGCAGAGTGGTGCTTAACAGACACAGGGATGGTAAGGAGCAGAGGACAAGGGAGTTTGGTCAGTGGGTACGGTTTTACAGGTAGACTGGAGAAATATGTCCTGGTGTTCCATGGCACAGTGTGCCATATGGTCAACAATAATGCACCATATGTGTCGAATTAGCAGTTAGAAGTAAGGGTTATTTATAACTTTGTCCTTTGTGAAAACTTAAGAGTTATCAGGTGCTTCAAGCTACATACTTTCACTTGGATATGAATCAGCATTCACTATTCAGGGTAAATGTTTCCCTTTAATGTTTGCTCTATGGATATATCAGTATAAGGTCTTTTTTTTTTTTACTTCTTTCATACATGACAATAGTGGAATGCATTATCTTTGTTATCTTATGAATTTTCTCTTGTTGAGAAACGTTGGGTTCTTTTTTTAGAAATTGCAATTATTTCTATGTCTGTCTTCTATATATAATCATTTTCTACAAGGGTGTTTATTTTTAAACAGTTTTCTTTTCTTCTTGCATCATTATGTATATATTCCTTCTTAAATTTGAGATTGTGAATATGGTGGCATCTTCATTTATGATGAGTTTTAGTGCTTTTACCTGTTTAGTTCTATAGGTTTCTACATAATATCCTTCTGTTGAAAGGGTCAGAGTTTGAGGTAATTGGGGTAATACTTGCCTTTGTTCTCAACAGTGAGGGGAACTTATTCAGATTGTGGCTATGTAAATCCAGAGAGAGGGGAAGAGGGAATGGAGAGAGAGGATGGAGGGAGGTAGGGAAGGAGGAGAGGGGCTAGAGATGGGAGAGAGGGGAACATGGTGGGAGGAAGGGAGGGAGAGAAAGAGAGAGAGAAAGAGAAAGAGAGAGAGAGAGAGAGAGAGAGAGAGAGAGAGAGAGAGAATATGAATATAGCTATGATAATACAGGAATTCATGGGTCATTATTTGTAGTCAGCCCAAATTACTGACCTATCAACATCATGAAGGAAAGGGTTTACTGCTTGTTTAATTTTACCAAAAATAAATGCCATGGCAGGCAAATTGTATAAAGCAAGACATTCTCCATGGTGCTACCTCTTAGTTGTCCATATTCAGAGCTTGGATATAGTGAGTGGCTGTAAGAGGAGCCTGAATTAACAATGAAGACTGCCTTCAGGCCTCTGATCACATCCTGGACCACACAGGTACAAGACAAAGGAAAAAGCTACACCAAGCCCAGATAATCAGCACATTAGAAGTTCTTAAAGAAGGAAACTCATCATTACTTGAAAACAGAACAGTCACTGGAATAAATTCATTCACTTCACTCTCAAAAAGGCCCAGAATTTGAGGCCAAGCTCTTGGGGAATGAGAAGGATTGAGGTTCTTCAGCTAGGAAGCCAAGGAAGATGGGAGGCTCTCACCACAAAGCCAAGAGAGGGAGCCCAGGTGCTGAAGGAAGAGAGCCAGGGAAGCAGCACTGGGCTGGGAGTGGGCAGAAGGCATCAGACCTGGAGACCTGTAGGTGGCGCTCCCGAGGCCTGCTTGGCCCATTGTCTTACTTCACTTTATTTTGCTGTATTTATTTTGCTGTATTCAGGATGAGATAACTTGGGTACATTGATGTCAAATTATCCTTTTATTTCAGGTCCATTTACATATGTTTTAAAAGTTCTAAACATAGCACTTGTTTTTTTATGCTGTAAAAACCACTGGGAATGAAAATAAATCTGTGTTGTAAATTTCACTCTTCCAGATCATCATCATAATAAATTCAGGAGACACAAGTAATAGAAAAGAACCTCAACTGGTTCTAAATTTTATTTCTTGTTTTAAAAAATTAGACACAATGGTGGGATATCCATTTTATTTTTGTAGGCCTCTATGTGTTTGAAATATTAGTAAGATTATTCAAAAGCTAGGATGTGGTGAAGTAACTAGGGAAATGCTAGTAGTTTTCAATAGGTTAAGTGATTAGAGAAGAAAAACATATAATTCAAGTAAGCAGAATGGCAAATTGGTTTTTTTGTTTTTTTTTTTTGACACAGCTGTATTGTTATACATAGTGTTGAGTTCTTCCGTAAAAACTCATCCATGCAATCAATTTTATGTCACGATCCCTCTTTCTCTCCTGGGCATCCCCTTACCCATTCTCCTTCCTCTGACCGACTAGACTTCCTTTTACGCATCTATTATTTTATATTTCACTGGTTCTTTATGTTATCCTATCTTTTCCTTCCTTTTCTCATAGAATGGTTTTTATATTAAGAACCTCCCAATCCTGTAAATATCCCAAGACAGGAAACAATGTTAGTATTTATAAAAGATCCAGAATTTTTGGACACTACTCCCATGGGAACAGCTCTTTGGGGAAACCCAACATCTTCTCTTGATATAATTTATCCAAAGCTTCAGCTTGGGCCACTGTGAGATGATTCTTCCAGTCCCCACAGATGCCTGGAAAACATGAAGTAGACACAGATCAGATCGAGGGAGAGGTCTTAAGACTGCGACCTCCTCCCTGCTCTGTCAAGACAGCAGAGTGACCCTGGGTCATTGGTGAGGCCTTCTCCTGCCTGGCCACCACACCCATTTCCACGTCTATCTTCCTGGAAAGTGTGTCCTGACTTCCCTCCATTTTCAAATAAAGCTGTTCAGAATCCATACGCAGTGAGGCTGGGTGTAAATCAGAAGATCTGGACTATAACTAAGTCTGACCACTTGGGTTTGAGCACTTTGGTCCAAACCAACAAAATTTCTGACCTGGTGATCAGAGCAGGTCACAGCTAGTGTTGTGCTTTAACTCTTCTCTGTGAGAAGTTCTTCTGCACATGGCACCATGTGGATCCATTGGCAGAGCCAGTGGCCCCAGTCACTTCTGGCTCATGTCTCCCCAGATTTCCAGTCTCCTTCAGCCAAGTTCCCTGGTGATGTTGAGGCTCTAGGTGTAGGGTCCTTGTTGATTCAGACTCCATCCTGGGACTGCCCATTGGCTCTCTCAGCTCCATGACACAGTCTTCTGATTCAGCCTCAAGCTTGCCAGGCTGCCCCCTCCTCAGGGTGTTTACCTTTCATGCTCCTCAACAGAGTGCTGTCCTAGCAGACACATTATGCCATGTCCATTAGCCTAATTCAAGTGTTGGCTCCAGTGCAGTGACTCAGTGGGGCTCTCAGTTCTAACCACACAAATCCATCCTTGCTGACTTCACAGCAATGACCAAAATGATATGTTCTATGTATTTCCTTTTTGAATGTTCATATGGTATGCATGTCTCAAATATTAGGACATCTAAAAAATTTATAGACTATACAAGATTTAATACTTCAAGGAATGACACAGTAAATGTTTAAGAAATAATTTTTGAAATGATTAAAAGGACCATGGAATTTGATAGATATCATTATCCAAAGTATGTGTATGAAGACACAAATTGATGTGAACATACTTTATATACAACCAGAGATATGAAAACTTGTGCTGTAAATGTGTAATAGGAATTGTAATGCATTCCACTGTCAGTTATTTAAAACAAAAAAGAATGAGTAATATACTAGCATAATACCCTGTTTTACAGAACAGAGTTTAAACAATACCCTGTCAGGGTTACCCTGTGGGAAAGTGGTGGGGGCCAAATGGAAGCTAAAGATACGTGCATAAGTCAGACCCTTTCCTTATCTGATTATAGTGCCATTTTATGTATCATAGGAATTCATTTTCACATAGCAGGCCAATCAAATTAACTAACAGAAAATACAACAATATCTGTTGTATATGCATGTAAACATTATACTCATATGAATATAAACAGGAATGTCTAATATGTAATTGTTATCCTATAACCACTGATTCTTACGCCCATGTTCATTGATACATTCGTCATTAGAACAAGCTTTCTTGACTTCTTCTGCTAGGCATGGGCTCTCCCCCTGAAGTACACCCCTAGCCCACTCCTGTTTTATGGCTCTGTGCTCCAGCCTCACTCTGTGGCAAGAATCCTGATCTTTTGAATATCTTGTGAAGCTTTTAGTATAAATACTCCATGGATTGCCATTTCAGATACATGTGAACTGGGTGAATTTTGGAAAAACTGGTTCTGTGAGTACATGCAGTAGACATTTTCAAGACATGAAACTGAAGTGTAGATATAATTCATCTTTCTTCACAGGAAGGAGGCCTTCCAATGTCTCATAACAAATGACCCAATCCCTACTTCACCTATTGGCTCATTCTCTGTGTATCTCTTCTTTAGGGCAGTTCTCTATGGTAAGTCACTAGTGGTGTGGCCCAGACATGACCATCTCCAAGACGCACTCTCCTCCCCTGGAGGAATCGGCTGTCTCCAGGGACGGCAGCCCCTCCCAGAACCGTGGAAACATTTTTCCACAAGGCACATGAGAGGTTTCCTGGGTTATGAATCACTCAAGTCAATATATTCAAGCACCCTAACCCTAAGGGTCTGGTGGGAAACACCAGAATTCCCTCCAAGTATTCTCATACATTCTGAAACCAGAGCTTTTACCTTTTCTTGTAATTTTGAAATCCTTATCAACATAAGTTTCAGGCAACGTTTCTAAATTGGACATCTTGTTTTCTTTCATGACATGGAAGGAGCTATTCTTGAGGACTGAGTCCAGTTCTTCTGGATTTAACTTCTTTCCCAGGAATTGACAGATCTCCTCTATGGTGCTTCTTGGGTCCTAAAAGGTGAACAACAAAGAGCGAGTTGATGAGAGGGAATCACAGTGGAGAAGGGAGGATAGGAACGAAGGTGTTAGGAGGGCTGGGGGATGGGGGGAGAGGAGAGGAATGACATCAGGACGAGAGGAGACTGCTATGGGTGACAGAAGGAGGGAGAAACAGAAAGGGGTTTTTCTTACATTGCTTAACAATTCTGAAAAAATTTCTAGATACTTTAAATTACATTAATTTATTATGTAATTTAAATGTATTAATTACATTTGGTGCTCTTAAACTCACATCCAGAAGTGGACATCTATGTGCAAGTCAGTGTGCCATTCCTCTACGATAACAGAAAAATAAAGTTAGAATGAGTATCTATTCAATGTGTGACATCCAATCTGTAAAGTAGCACATCCAGGAACTCAGACATAAATCATTGATTTAGTTGAAAACATTCAAAATCCTCTTCACTTGCTATTTTGAAATGCATTATTATTATTATTATTATTTATAGTGGCCACGCTGTGCTACAGGTCATTAGAAGTCATTTCTGTTACCCGGCTGTACCCGGTACCCAGCCCACCAGTGCCGAGCTTCATCTGTAAGCCATTGGGATTACTCCAGCCCCTGACCTCTCACAAGAGTTACACAAAGTGACATCTCTCCTTCATCTCACCTGGCCAGTCAAGGGGAGAAGCCAGACAGGTGGACACAACTCTGGGATTAATGCTTTCTACCCAGTCCCTTCTGATGGTGAGGTTTCTGTGAGCATCATAGGTCCTGCACACAGAAACCTTGGCAGCCACAGGGGCTAGCATAAGCCGTTGCCCTCTGCCTGGGTGTGTGTAGGGCCCTTGAGATGTTGCCAGATGGAAAGCTTTGAAGACATGAAAGAAGAGCTTGCATTTGGTGGCAGATCAATGAAGAAATGGCAATGGAGACCAAGGGCTCATCTCCTCTTAGTGACCCTTAAGAATCTATAATTTACAGAAAGTTGGAGAGCAGATACTGAGACCACGGACATTAGAGGCAGCAAGGATGGTCAGGAGCTGGCGGGTGCTGGATCTGACAGGTGCTCACCTTCTGCAGCTCTTCATAACTCAGCAGCAGGACGTTCTCCCTGTCTCTCATGGACATCCAGCCACGAATGTGCTCAAACCATGATCCATAGGGCACTGTGGGGCAGGCACAGGGGTGCAGGTGACACACTGCCAAAACAGGGCTGTGCCATCCCTGTCACTCTAACACCCTGACAGCTTGATTCATGTATAATTGACAAATACTCCTCAAACAAGGGGATGAAATAGAGAGGGGAACATTTCTGAATTCATTCTATGAAACCAGTAGCATATTTACCCAAGGCAGACAAAGATGCAATGTAAGTAAACAACAGCCCAATATTCCTATGAACACAGATACAAAAACCTTATTAAAATGTTAGCACATTCTATTAAGATTATACACAGGACATGGTGTGTTGACACTTTAGGATTATACTTTAAGGCACGTTGATTTCATCCCAGGGATGTAAGTCTGGTTCACCATATGCAAATTCATAAATGTATTTCACCACGTCAGTAGATTTTACCTTGAAAGAAGAACATGGCTGAGCATCCTAAAGGTTACATGTGACAAACCCAAAGCCAACATCATGCTAACCTGGGAAAACTGGAAGCATTTCTCCTAAAACCAGGAACAAGGCAAGGATGTGCACTCTTACCACTCATTAAACAGAAGTTTGGGAACTCTAATCAGACAAGTCAGGCAAGAGAAGGAGATCCAAATAATACAGTTGGAAAGAATGAAGCCAAATTATCAGTGTTTGCACATGATAGCATGCTATGTTTGAGGACCCCTAAAGCTGCCCCCGAACCCTTGTAGAACTAATAACCACATTGAGCAGAGTAGGAGGATACAAGATCATCATAGAAAAATCCATAATAATAATGAGTTTGCTGAGGAAGAAACCAAAAATACAATTCCACTCACAATGGTCTCAAAAAATACTTAGGTAAACAGGTGTGGTGGGGCACGCCTGTAATCCCAGGAGCTAGGGAGGCTGAGGCAGGAGGATGGCAAGTTCAAATCAGCCTGTGCAACTTAGCAAAGTTAAGGACCTCAGCGAGACTACCTTATTTATATATAAAATATAAAAATGGAAAAGAAATATTGCTCAATAATTATTTGGTTTGAGATCAATACCTGGTATTAATTCAAAGAAACAGAAAAACAACAACAACAAACAAACAAACAAACAAATAGCAGATAACACTCTTAGAATGAAAATTATAGAACACTGGAGAAAGAAATTGAAGAAGACACTAGAATGTGAAAACCTCTTCCATGTTCACGGATAACCAGAATTTAAACAATGTCACATTTCCAAAAGAAATCTACAAATTCAGTGCAATCTCCATCAAATACCAATGAGATTCTTCACAGAAATAGAAGAAATGGTTCCACAATTTTCATGAAAAACAAAAATGCAAAGCCATTTTCAGCAATAAAAATAATGATCAAGGGCTGAGAATGATGCTCAGTGGTAAAGCACTTGAATGGTGTTGCAAAGCACTGGGTCTAATCCCAACA